TTTTTTTTTTTTTTTTTAAGAGAGACAGAGTCTTACTTTGTTGCCCTCAGTAGAGTGCTGTAGCATCATAGGTTGCTCACAGCAACCTCAAACTCTTGGGCTCAAGCAATCCTCTTGCCTCAGCCTCCTGAGTAGCTGGGATTATAGGAGCCCACCACAACGCCCGGCTATTTTTTTTTAAACAGAGCCTCAAGCTGTCACCCTGGGTAGAGTGCCATGACATTACAGCTCACAGCAACTTCCAACACCTGGCCTCAAGCGATTTTCCTGCCTCCGCCTCCCAAGTAGCCAGGGCCACAGGCACCTGTCACAGTGCCTGGCTATTTTTTGGTTGCGGTCATCATTGTTGTTTGGCAGGCTGGGCTGGATTCGAACCTGCCAGCTCGGGTGTATGTGGCTGGTGCTTTAGCCACTTGAGCTACAGGCACCAAGCCAGCCTGGCTACTTTTTGAGATGAGTTCTTGCTTTGGCTCAGGCTGGTCTCCAATCTGTGAGCTCAGGCAATCCACTTGCGTTGGCCTCCTAGAGTGCTGGAATACAGGTGTGAGCCACCATGCGCGGCTATCCTTTTTTTTTTTTTTTTAATAGAGGCTCGCTCTGCAATCTAGGGCTAGAGTATAGTGGTACCATCAAAACTTACTGCAACCTCCAAAGCCTGGGCTCAATAATTTCTCCTGCCTCAGCCTCCCAAGTAGCTGGGACTACAGGTTCTCACCACCTGTTGTTTGTAGAGGTTGGGTTTTCCTCAGGCTGTTCCCAAATTCCTGTTTTCAAATGATCCTCCCATCTCAGTCTCCTAAAATGTTAAGATGATAGGCATGAGCCACTGCACCCAGTCCATTTCTTTTGATAGGATGCAGGGGGTAGTGTGAGTTATGTGTAAGAGAAGAGGGGAGAGAAAAGCTATAGAAAAGTGTACAACTTGCAAATATAATGTCGTAAATTTTAATAATGAAAACAAAATTATAATTTTACCACTCTTAAACTAAATATCTATTTCAGATTAAAGATCTAGATGCTGGGTTTCTCCTCTGGGCAGTCAATAAATATTTACCAAAGAAAGGCTACACCTGGGCAGCACCTGTGGCTCAAAGGATTAGGGTGCTGGACCCATATGCCAGAGGTGGCGGGTTTAAACCCAGTCGCGGCCAAAAATTGCAAAAAAAAAAAAAATGCAAGAAAGGCTACACTTAGGCACTGTGCAAAGGTGCAGGCTATCACAATGCAACCAATCAGCAAAGGCTCACAAAGAAGACCCTCAGTTCTTTGGTAGGTAATAATTGCCTGTCTGCAGTTCTTTAGCAAAATAAATGGCTAGCTAGATACAAACATTTTATAGTCAAATGGCTTTTCAAGTCTTCTCAAGCAGATAAGGCTGCAGTTCTCTAGGGAATGTGGAAACTTAAAAGATAAATGCTCAGTGTGGTTGATGAGAAGGAAGGGAAAGTAAGAACACATTGTAAACTCTATTCTTTGGGAGGTTTCTGAAACACAGAGACCATTATCAAGGGGTATAGTTAAGACTCATTAAAACATGCAGAACAACCTGAAACAAACAAAAGCAAATTATAAGTTAAACACATTATACTAACTAATAAGAATAGTATGTATGAGTATGAATTTGTTTCCCAAATAACAGAATACTAGGAACAGAAGGTTAAATCTTAACACTTGAAAGGGGGTTAAAGGAACAGGAAAAAAGGGCCATATCATACAGTGGAAGGAGCTTTGGGCTATGGAAAATGACTTGGATCCTGTTTCTAGCTTCTCCCCCAGGAGAGTACACAAACTCTAAAAGGCTGTAGGATTTTTCTAAGCCTCAGTTACTGTCTGTAAAAGGAGGTTGGAGTTCTAGCTCTTTAACAGTCTATACCACATGAATTGCTTCTATGAACTGAATAGGTGGGATATGAGAAATGAGAAAATGTAGGAAAGATGACTACTTATTCCGATCTTTCTGATGTCTTTTACTGTATTCTAACAATGGCTTCGGTTCCCTTTATGGAAACCAGCACAGTAAGACAAGAATTGGTAATTCAGCAGTCAATTCTATCAGTGAGGTAGTGGGTATTAAACAGAAACAAAATAACAAGACTGATTCTAAGGTTAAACTTTCCCAAGAGCAAACATGAGACAAAACAAGATGCCTATTCTTACTAGCCAAAAAATACTACACTAGAATGCTTTCAGCTCAGTATTCCCATCCACTTGTACTCCCCTGACGCTGGAGCACCATAGAAACACTCAGATAGAATTCCCACAGGTAAAGGATCCTTTCCAGCCACTCTGCCAGGGGATACATAAGACTTGAGCCATCTGGGGGAACCCTTTGCAATCTGAAGAGGCATAAATTCCTGAGGACCTATGAAAGTCATTTAGATCTTTGCGTTTCATTTGCTTCAGTGAAAAAGCATCTTTATATTTTTGCACTTTAACATCTGGCAAAGCATTTTGATGATGATGAACATCATGAGTAAATGGATGAGTGACTAGCTAAATATAAGAAAATATTCTGAGAGAATTTTTGTGCTAAAAGTAATAGGCAGGCCATGTGTGGTGGCTCACACCCATAATTCCAGTACTTTGAGAACCGACGCAGGAGGATCATTTGAGGCCAGGTTTTGAGACTAGCTGGGCAACACAGTCAGACTCTGTGTCTACAAAAAAAATTTTTTTAAAAAAAATTAGCTGGATGCAGTAGTTCATGCCTTAAGTCCCAGCTACTCTGGAGGCTAAAGCAGGAGAACTGGTCGAGGCTACATTAAGTTATGATCACACCACTGCACAGACTTTGCCTCAAAAAAAAAAAAAAAAAGTAGGAAAATCAAAGCAGCAATCTAAAACAGATAATACTATCTTTTCAGAAAGTAAAAAGATAGTATTTTACTATTTTATCCTGGATAGGTATTCTTGCATTACAATAATTTATACTCTGCATTACTTGAGACCTGTGTAGAAAGAAGTCTCCTTTCCTGGTATGAGTGGACTTGATCAAAATCACCCACAGCTATAAATCTACATTACAAAATCACCACATCAAATCCTCAGTGAATAGCTTTATCTCAGCAGATATCCACCCAAAGAAAAGTGAAGTTACTTTTACCAAGAGCACATGGTCGACAAAGTATGTTGCAATTCTGCTCTGCTCACTTAGAAGTTGGCTCAATCCATCTGTCCTCTAACAAGCCCTAAGGCTCTCCATCCCTTCAAGATGACCACTCAAGCCCTAAGGCCTGTCCTGAGGATAATCTGACATCTTTCCATATCTTGAAGGCCTCAGGCTCCAGACACACCCTATTCCAACCAGATTTTTACTTCACTATCAACAAACATCCAAGAGTTGACAAATCAAGAGACTTAGGGCCTTCAACTCTCAGAAACCAAAGTGTCCTCACAAATCTCAGATTCTGATGACCCTATTCCTTTTGGTTGGAACGTTTAGCCCCTGCGTTGACCTCCCAGCTTCCGTGGCCGCAACTAGTTCTGGTTCTCCTGGCCCCTTCCTGCCCTTCGGGGGTCTCCGCCAGAGCTCCCACCTACGCTGTTTCCTCGTCTGTAGGAACGCTGGAGGTTGGGAGGGGGATTCTAAGACACCGGCGACCTCCGGATCCGACGTGGAAGGCGCCCACGTTCCCCTCGACCCTCTCTCTTCCCCTTGCCCACCGCCCCACTGGCTGGCTGCCCCCAGGCTCCACGAACACCGCGGTCGCGCTGCGAGCATCAGCCGCCACGGCCCAGGGGTCCCGGCCTCAACTGCTGGGCTCTCCCTTCAGCGCTGCTTCCGGCCCTCTCCCCGGCCAGCGCTCAGCCCTCCGCGCCGCTAGCTCGCGGGCTCTCACCGCTCGAAGAGCAGCCTCACGAAGAAGATGCCCGCCGCCAGGGGGAACACCGAGAAGACGTGTTCTGCGCGCGGGTAGCCGTAGCCGTCGCCCGGCCCTTCTAGGTCCGCCCAGCTCACGTTCTGGGGCAGCCAGAAGCGCTCGCTCCACAGCCAGCCCGACAGCAGGCCTAGGGCTCCCGCCGCTGCTGTCGCCATCTTACGCGCGCCCGGCAGCTACAGCCGCCACAGCCTCAGCTGCCGCCACAGCCAACGGAACCCTAGGGGAGACGGCCCTGGGGCGGGGCCCGGCCGGCGGCCAACCCCTTCCAGCTCCCTCGCGTCCCCGGCACGAATTCACCGCCCATCTCGCCTCCCCGCCCACCTCCCTCACCGCAGCCTCCCGGACCGCAGCCCTGGGGCCCCGGCTACCCACATTGGCCGCGCCCCTTCTCGAGCCTCTGACTCCGCCTCGGCCTGGCCCAGAAGCCCCGCCCCGCCCTCGCTGTGCTGCCCCGGCCTCACCCACCCGCCCTCTCTTTGCGGCCCTGGCCCCACCCACCACGAGCCCTTGACTTCTAGCTCCGCTCCTTTTTGCTGCCGGGGTCGGCTACGCTTCATCTGCTTCCTCGCTGGCCCTTCCAGTGGTGGCCACGCCTCTTATGTCAGGGCTAGCCCCCTTTGAGGACACTGCACAACTTGACCGAATTAAATCCATTCCTGCTCCCAGCCTGGCCATACCTATGTCTCCACTCTCGGTTTTCCTCAGGTCAGGGCTTATCTTGCCTGCTCATCGGCCCCGCCTACTACTGTCCAGCAACATTTTTTCTGCTTTTGGTCTTTTCCTCCATGGGGCCCCTCCGTGATCGCAACTCCCTTTCACGGACTTACTCCTTAAAAATTATATATTCACTTTTCCTAAGAAGAATGCACTTATAAAAACCCTTTAATTTTTCTCATGGGGAAAAGGAAATGGAAGAAAAGCAATGTGAAAAGGGAGACACCCAAAGGAAAATACACGTAAAGGCAAAAGATGATGGCCAGGTCTAATGAGGTTTTCCTCCGTGCCAGATAATGCACGGAACGTTTTACAGATTGTCTCACTCCTTCCCTCTGAAGTAGGTATAGTTGTCCCCACTATATTATGGATAAGTAAACTAAAGTCCAGAGGCCAAACAGCTTGCGCAAGGTTATACGTAAGAAGCGGTAGCTGGAGTCTTCAGACTCCAGAACTCTGAGCCCTTATCTCATAAACCACCTTAATTTTAGGTTATCATACTGAACATTGAACTCTTTTGTGGATCTCTATAAATAGGGAGAGGAGCCATAGCCACAGCCACAGCTTCAAAAGGCGAAGCTAAATTGTCTCCCAGCTGCCCAAGAACCCTGAACCCTGCATGCTGTTAAAACCTGGTTACAAGGTTAATAGATGCTAACTAGAATGATCTGAAGAAAAGATTAAAATAACAATCTCTACCTCTTGTTTGAGGACAGGAAAAGTAACTTTATAACTAATGAGCAATGGTTATGCCCAAGTTAAAGGGATTGAAAGGGAAGAGAGAGAAAAAAAAAAAAAAACAGCAGCTATCCCAAGGAGGAAACTAAAAGGTTTGCTTCAGCTCAGCGCGGGTCAAACTTCAGTGTGGATCAGTTCAGACATTAGCTTGTCCCATTTCCCACATGGAGAGTTTATTCTAAGCTTCTGGATCCCATCCAGAAAGATTCTGTTTTCCAGAGGTTGGGTGCAGAGCCCATGGATTTACATTTCTCATTTCTGACAAATTTATAGGTGATGCTGCTGCTACTGGAAATTACCACCTGAAGCCATTTTCATCCAAACCCAGCATTAGCTTCATGGTATAACTACACTATATTCAAGATGTATTTTATTTATTTATTTTTTGAGCATATCAAGCTGTTGCCTTGGGTAGAATGCTATGGAGTCACAGCTCACAGCAGTCTCAAACTCTTGGGCTCAAGTGATCCTCTTGCCTCAGCCTCCTGAACAGCTGGGACTATAGGCACCCACTATATGCCTGGCTATTATTAGAGATGGGGTCTTACTCTTGCTCAGGCAAACCCACTTCAGCTTCCCAGAGTGCTAGGATTACAGACTTGAGTCACCATGCCTTGCCCCAACAAGTCCATTTGCTTTTCTTTTTTTTTTAAGAGACAGAGTCTCACTTTATTGCCCTTGGTAGAGTGCTGTGGAGTCACAACTCACAGCAACTTCCAACTCCTGGGCTTAGGCGAGTCTCCTGCCTCAGCCTCCCAAGTAGCTGGGATTATAGGCGCCCACCACAACAACCGGCTATTTAGCAAGTCCGTTTTCAGAAGAGCATTTGGAAATTCTATTTAGCATATTAGGCATAACTGTGAGGTGAATTATTAAATGTTAGGACAATAAATACAAACTACTACTGGATTTTGTGTTTTTTTTTAAAGATAAATGAAAATTTATTTGGTTTTGGAATGGTTGTAAACTACTACTGGATTTTGAGTTGGTAAAACAAGTAACTCATTTTGAAGGTACACTTTATCTTGCCAGGCTGCTCCCAAGATACTGCCTGCAGTCTTTCAGGAAGGATGAAAAATCCAAGATTAGCTCAACACCACCACCTAGAGGTAAACTGTACTGATAGCCCTTCTCTTTCTAAAACACACTAAAGTAGTTCCATTTGTCTTTCCCCCCCAAACTTCTAAAGTAAAAGTAGACCCTGGGAGATTGTAATAATGTAAAGAAATAATGGAAAAGCAACATTTAAAAGTTCAAATTTTAATTAAAAGCTTTATTGAATAAAAATGTTTCAGACTAAGCAAGACTAAGGAAGCAAAATATTTTACATCTCTACAATATATTAGAGTTAAATCTCTATAAATGCAGTACAAAGAAAAGCCTATGGCTTAAAACACCTCTCCTTCCCATACATACAATTTGTAATATCAATTATGTACAAATGTGTTCAAATTTATAATGTTCCAAAGCCTAATATTAGAAAAGAAATCCCAAGAAAAAGGCCCATAGTTGGTTTAATTTCACAGCCTGCCATAAAAGTCAGTACATTTCAGAGCTGGTAAATATTTAAAAATTAGTGTCTCAGGGAACATCAGAAGTGGGATATAGGGTTTAGAGGTTCGAATTCAAGTGGTGTAAGGAGGTTCTTTCTACTTTTCCTCCTTTAAACTCCTCACTTTGCTCTGACATGGAGCATGGGAAAGTGATCCCAAAGGTCTTACAAACACATTGCAGCTTTCAGTAAATTATGAGAAGCATATATACCACCAGAAAAGAAAGCAATCTCTTGGGGTATAGTCAAACTCACTGGCAAATACCATAGCTTATTTAGGGGACAGTGGTTCTCTCCAAGCACCAAAGCATATGGATTGGTTCTTCAATTGCTTCCAAATGTGCTCAGAAATGATGGCTGTCCTATACCTCAACAATTCAGTTCAGGATGTGATTTAGCGAATAGGATACAAAGCAATAAATTCCCTATATGTATATATCAGAATAAGAAAATTAACCTAAAAATTTTTTGAACATTCTTGTTGCTATATAACCTAAAAAAAATGTTTAAAAGACTAAATATCTGATCTCTTAACAGATGAATACTAAAAATTTAAGTTGATATTCATGTAAAAATATACAAACTGTGCCCTTTATACTAAAGTGCATTCAATCCTAATCTTTAGGCCCCTAAATTCTTTCTATAGGTTCTCTAATTCAGCATTCGTAGTTTAACAATGTACTACTAACAATCTATCTACTTTAATATTGCCTTTTGGGAATACAGTGGAATCTGGACTATATCAGTTGGAATATCTCCCCACTTTTAAGATCTTAAAGCACTTATGCTTATGATTTATTGCTAAAATGGAAGATTTAAGTAACGTTATCTGTAGCATTTGGATTTTTTTTTTTTTTGAAGCTGGAACTCCTTTCCAAAGTTATTTCTGTATAAATTACATTTCATGCTAAAATACCTGTTTATGTGTATCACACTTGGATAAAGGGCAGTGGCTCACTAACATAAATTTAAGGCCAAGCACCATTTCAAGTTATCATTCTTCATCTTCATCTTCATCATAGTACCGATTTCTCTTTATCTGTTCTTCCACAGAGAGCTCTCTGACCACCTCTTCCTCCCAGAATCCCACATCCTGGGATTTCTGATTCTGAGTAGTGAATTCTTTAGTGGAGGTGTTGTCTACAAAGCTGGACCAATTTGGAGACTTGTGTTCTAGTGGAGACTGCTGTTTGAGGAAGTTGCTATCATTCTCATCTAAATTTGCACCATTTTCTACAGAGTTCTCATCCCCCATTTCAAAACTATGAACCTCCTTAATACTCCCTTCCTCTCTTCCTTTAGATTCCCTGTTTTGCCAGGTTATTTTTCCCATATTCTCATTCTTCTTGGTGACCTGGGCATTTTCTGCTTGTTCTCTCTCTGATACTATTCCTCCTGCAAACTCCTCACTCTGCTCTGACATGCTCCAGCCTTTCCTGATAGCGGGGGACAAAGATTTTGGGCTCTTGACAGAAGTGGTTCGAAATGAAGCTGCTACTGTGAATGGGCGGCTTCTTTCCTTCAGTGAAGAAGATCGTCTTAGCTTCTTCAGATCCAGATCCACATCTTCAAGAGCTTCAGGCTTGCTCATTTCATCCTCAGGAGGCCATTTGGGCTTAGATACTTTGATCCCTTCCTCCAAGGCACTTCCTGAACTGCCAAGTTCAGTTGGGGGAGGCCAGGCAATCCTTAACTTCTTGGTTTCAGCTGGCTTGTCTTCTTTCTCTTGCTGAGAGGAGGCCTTGGCTTCCATACTTGCAGCCAGCACACCTACCTTAGCAATGGGGGCATCTTCTACTCCTGGACTCTGAGGGGTCTCCTTTGCATTTGGAAACTGGGCTGATCTCTCCAAAGTCTCTTCATTTTCACTTTTGCTTGCCCACAGATCTTTGTGTGGTCTGTGCCCAAAACCCTCATCATAGTTGCCTTTAGATTTGAAGAGTTGATTGAAGTGAGGCTTACAATAGATTCTCCCATGCAAAGATGCATATGTTCCTAGACTGTCATTAAAAGAAGATAAGCATAAAATTAGCAAATGTTTACACACTCATTTATACCAGCAGGCTAAAATCTGGCAATTCCATTATTTTCAGAATATGCCAAATGAGGAAAATGTCTTTAAAAGCACATCAATGAGTGGTGCCTGTGACTCAGTGGGTAGGGTGCCAGCCCCATATACTGAGGGTGGCAGGTTCGAACCTGGCTCTGGCCCAAACTGCAACAAAAAATAGCCGGGCATTGTGGTGGGCACCTGTAGTCCCAGCTACTTGGGAGGCTGAGGCAAGAGAATCGCCTAAGCCCAGGAGTTGGAGGTTGCTGTGAGCTGTGACACCACAGCACTCTACCGAGAGTGACATAGACTCTGTCTCAAAAAAAAAAATAATAACAAAATAAAATAAAAGTACATCAATGACCTAGGATTCCCTGTCCACCTTTGAGTACATTAGTTTACTTATTCTTATACCAAATATGCTCACTTCCAACATCCACCTGGAGTGTGCTCCCCATTTTCAAATGATCTCATTCTCCTGTGAAATTAAATAATTTAAACTTAAAAGCAGTTGGAACTTTACTCTGAGCCTCGAGAGGAATGTGGCTATGCAACTTGAGTCACATGGCATGCAGCTGCAACTTCAGAGATAAGACCCCCCTCAAATCACTACCTCCTCCTCATGAATGAAGAAAGCAATCTGGAATGTAGCAATCTATAACCAATCAAATTGCTGTGGCATATGTATTAGTCCTGTATAGAATAGGTTCTAATCCTGCTAAATTTCTGTATAAGTGAAACCGTAACTTCTCCCCTTTGAAACGCCGACCCCATTCATTTGGAGTCAGTATTTCCATGTGGCTATTCTCAAGCTTTACACTCAATAAACTCTATGCTTAATCATCTTTTCTGAGTCTCATTATTTAAGGTGGACATGCCTCTGTTAAAACTGTTAACAAATTACTTTTTCTGGGAAGTCTTCCTACCTACCTCTGATCACTCACACATTTCTTCAGTATTTATAACCTGTAATTACAATATTATTGTAAAAATACTTATTTATTTTTTTGAGACAGAATCTCATCTTATTGCCCTTGGAAGAGCCCACAGCAACCTCCAGCTCCTGGGCCCAGGTGACTCTCCTGCCTCAGCCTCCCGAGCAGCTGGAGTCCCGCCTGGGTACAGGTGCCTGCCATAGTACCCGGCCATTTTTTGCTGCAGTTTGGCTGGGGCCAGGTTCGAACCCACCACCCTTGGTATATAGGGCCGGTGCCCTACTCACTGAGCCACAGGTGCCACCATAAAAATATTTTTGTAAAAAGCTGAACACTGGCTCAGCACCTGTAGCTCAAGTAGCTAAGGCGCCAGCCACATATACCTGAGCTGGTGGGTTCTAATCTAGCCCACACCTGCCAAACAACAATGACAACTGCAACCGAAAAATAGCCAGGTATTGTGGCGGGTGCCTGTAGTCCCAGCTATGGCAAGAAAATCGCTTAAGCCCAGGAGTTGAAGGTTGCTGTGAACTGTGATGCCACAGCAGTCGGCATTCTACCCAGGGCAACAGCTTGAAGCTCTGTCTCCCCCCCACCCCCCAAAAAAGCTGAATACATTCCTCTTACTTTCTTATTTGTGTATTGTATTGTAATTTTTTTTTTTTTTTTTGAGACAGAGTCTCAGGTTGTTATGCTGGGTATAGTGCCATGGCATCACAGTAGCCTTTAACTGTTTGGCTCAAATGATCCTCTTGTGCCTCACTTTTTCTATTTTTATTTTATTTATTTATTTTAGATGGAGTCTTACTATGTCATCCTTGGTAGACTGCTGTAGAGTCACAGCTCACAGCAATCTCTAACTCTTGGGCGTAAGTGATTCTCTTGCCTCAGCCTCCCAAGTAGCTGGGACTACAAGCACCTGCCATAACACCCAACTATTTTTTTTGATGTAATTGTCATTGTTGTTTGTCAGGCTGAGGCCGGGTTCGAACCTGCCAGCCCTGGTGTATGTGGCCTGTGCCCTAGCCACTACAGGCGCCAAGCCAAATCATACATACATACATATATATATATATGTATATTTTTTTTTTTGAGACAGAGTCTCATTATGTCACCCTCGGTAGAGTGCTGTGGCATCATAGCTCACAGCAACTTCAAAATCTTGGGCTTAAGCAATTCTCTAGCCTCAGCCAGTTTTTCTATTTTTAGTAGAGACGGGGGTCTCACTCTTGCTTAGGCTGGTCTTGAACTTGTGAGCTCAAACCATACACCTGCCTTGGCCTTCCAGAATGGTAGGATTACAAGTGTGAGCAACCATGCCCAACCTGTGTTATGATTTAAAAACATAACTCTATAGGAATAGGTACAATGCTTTGCAAATAGCTAACACTCAGTTGCTACTACTGACTGAATGAAAGTAAGTTATGGGCTGGGTGTGGTCGCTCATGCCTGCAATCCTAGTACTCTGGGAGGCCAAGGTAGGTGGGCTGCTTGAGCTCATGAATTCAGATCAGCCAGATATAGAGTCAGACCCTGGAGGTGCCCTGCAGCTCACTCAGGCTGGGCATTGTAGTAGGCACTCGTAGTCTCAGCTACCTGGGAAGCTGAGGCAAGAAGATTGCTTGAGCCCAGGGGTTTGAGGTTGCTGTGAGCTATAATGACACCACAGTACTCTATCCAGGCCAACAAAATGATACTCTGCCTTAAAAAAAAAAAAAAGGAAGTTACAGTTAACAGTGAGGAGTGAACAGGAGGTTTTAGGTATTCTCTAAGTGCTAGACAAGCCTTTAGGAGATATGGTGTCTCTCAGAGGGAAGCAAATTTTAAAGAGGGTATAAAATGACAGCATTTCCAGAACAAAAATAATGGGCTTTGGAGAAAAAATTAATACAGTAGGCAGAAAAAGAGCTAACGAGTAGCAGCCATATTTTGGCTCACTCTATGGAAAAGTTGTCTAGCTAGACACCAGAACTAGCTATAGTAAGGTACTACCCAGCTGGATGTGTCACACAGATGCCAGGAAATCTTCAAGAATATTTTAGAAGGGATGCTGACTCTGGAAAGAAAGCTGGAGAAAGTGACATCTTGGTCACTTCCTTTTCTAAGACCCTGATTAAGATGAGTTCATAGGCCAGGCATGGTGGTTCATGCCTGTAATCCTAGTACTTTGGAAGGCTAAAGCAGAAGGACTGTTTGAGGCCAGGAGTTCAAGACTAGCCTGAGTCACATAGCAAGACACAGTCTCTATAAAGAAGATTTTAAAAAGTAGCTAGGCATGGTGTCGAGTGCCTGTAGCTGTAGCTACTTGGGAGGCTGAAGCAGGAGGATCACTTGAGCCCAGTAATTTGAGGCTGCAATGACCTATGACTGTGCCATTCTACTCCAGCCTGGGTGACAGAGAGAAACCCTATTTCCAAAAAAGAAAATTATTAATAATATGGAGTATTTCCCCAGTTTGTCACAATTATATCCATATTTTGAATTACCTGGAAGAAATGATACATAATTATTTTCTCAGAAACACATAAAATGAGGTAACACAGAAAAAACAAAATGCTCTTTGGGGGGCTATCATTATTGCTATTATTACCATTTATTCAGAGTTTAGGACATTTTAAAGTAAAGGCTTAAGCAAATAACCTCTTGAAATTTCTTTTTTTTCTTTTTCTCTCTCTTTTTTGAGACAGTCTAACTTTGTTGCCCTAGTAGAGTGCCATGGTGTCAATGCCTGGCTATTTTTAGAGACTGGGTCTCGTTCTTACTCAGGCTGGTCTTGAACTCATGAGCTCAAGCAATCTACCCGCCTTGGCCTCCCAGAGTGCTAAGATTATAGGTGTGAGCCACCGCACAAGCCCCTTTTTCTTTTTTTGAGATAGTGTCTTACTTATTTTGTTGCCCTTGGTAGAGTGCTGTGGCGTAATAGCTCACAGCAACCTCAAACACTTGGGTTCAAGAGATCCTCTTGCCTCAGTTTTTCATTTTTAGTAGAGATGGGGGTCTCACTCTGGTCTCAAAGACTCAGTCTGGTCTCAAACTCATGAGCTCAAGCAATCCACCTGCTTCAGCATCCCAGAGGGCTAGGATTACAGGAGTGAGCCACCATGCCTGGCCTTGAAATTTCTTAAAATCATCATTCTGTGATACCAGGGGAAAACATTCCACTAAATTAGGTCACAGAGGGATTTACCTGAAACCCATTTTATTTAAGTTTCACACTATCAATGTACCAAGAACTTCCAAACACCATTATTATTTGATATGAAAGACCTGTCTGAAAAGTGCTTTAAATTTTATTCAAGAGCCTTCAACAGAATATCATACTAGCTTTTAACCAGGGCTCTCAAAGCCAAAGACTCTCTCCAACCTCCAATCATACAGAAAGATGTCTGGGTTTAGCCTGGTTTACCTAAGTTTACTGTTGCAATAGGAGCAACGGAAGCAGCTGATGTGAAACACCTGCTGGTTGGCCAAGAGACGCTCCATCGGGTAGACTGTCTTCTGACATTCCACACAGGTCTCTCTTGCAGGCACCTGAAACTTCTGCAGAAAGGAAAAGAACAACTTTAGCATAAGCAGTGATCAGTTAGTAGTCTGTTGAGGTGGATCCTAGAATTTATCTACGGGTTCCCTCAATTAGTCAGTCAATTCTCATAGGAACACTAAACCTGCTACAATTCTATCAGCTGACTCTTGAAAAACAAGAGGCTCTTCTGAATTCCTTTCCCAAACTGGCTGCACTAAGTGTAGCAGCCTCTGAGGACAGGTGGAGCTAGGGCTGGATTACAGAGAAAGGCTTAGACAAACCACCATACACATGAAATGTTAGGAGTAGGAGACAGGGAGTCGGGGAAGGGATTAGGAGAAAATGTCATCACATACCGAGAAAAGAAGATTGATTCAAGTGCCAAGTAAAAAGTAGGACAAACTAGTATAAAAATGGATTCTGGGGGCAGCACCTGTGGCTCAAAGGAGTAGGGCACTGGCCCCATATACTGGAGGTGGCGGGTTTAATCCTGGCCCTGGCCAAAAACAAACATACAAAAAAGTGGATTTTGAAGGGGATAAATTTCTAGAAGGAGAAGTGCATCTGTCTTTGAGAATTAGAAAAAGATATTTTGGCTCGGCGCCTGTGGCTCAACCGGCTAAGGCGCCAGCCACGTACACCTGAGGTGGCGGGTTCGAATCCCCAGCCCGGACCCGCCAAACAACGATGGCTGCAACCAAAAAATAGCCGAGCGTTGTGGCAGGCGCCTGTGGTCCCAGCTTCTTGGGAAGCGGAGGCAGGAGACTCGCTTGAGCCCAGGAGTTGGAGGTTGCTGTGAGCTGTAATGCCATGGCACTCTGCCCAGGGGGACAGCTTGAGGCTCTGTCTAAAAAAAAAAAAAAAAAAAAAGAAAAAGATATTTTGGCCTCTACCCAGTTTTGCTCCTTCATTCTTAAATTCCTTGGGTACTATTTGAAGTTCACCACTAATATTTTTTCTTTCTTCCTTTTTTTTTTTCCATTTCAGACAGGGTTTTGTTCTGTCACCAGGCTGGAATACAGTGGCATAATCATAGCTCACTGCAACCTTGAACTCCTGGGCTCAAGTGATCTTCCGGTTCAGCCTTGTGAGTAGCTGGGACTATAGCCATTGTGCCATTCTGCCCAGCTGATTCCTTATTTTTTGTAGAGACAGAGTCTTACTAGTTGTCTAGGCTTTGTTAATTTTATTAAAACTCCCCTATATAGATTTTTCCCTTTATTTCCATTTTATGTTCATTTTCTGCTCAAATCTATGTGGAAAATCATTCCTATTTTGTGCTTTTCTTCTTTGTGAATCATGTGGCAAGTAAACTAGCAATCTGAACTTTTTATGGGCCTATTTTTGAGTTTTTTAAATCAAAATTCTATCTTGCTCACCTAGTTCATTGAAGGCTTAATTTAACCATTCAAGTTCTGGGCCTCGGGGCTAATTTATATTATTTCTTTTTTTTTTGAGACAGAGCTTCAAGCTATCCCCTTGGGTAGAGTGCTTGTGGCATCACAGCTCACAGCAACCTCCAATTCCTGGGCTCAAGTGAGTCTCCTGCCTCAACCTCCCAAGTAGCTGGGAGCACAGGCACTCGCCACAACACCTGGCTATTTTTTGGTTGCAGCCGTCATTGTTGTTTGGCGGGCCCAGGCTGGATTCGAACCTGCCACCTTAGGTGTATGTGGCTGGTGCCTTAGCCACTTGAGCCACAGGCGCCGAGCCTGTATTATTTTTCATCATGTGTTTTCTGGTGAGAGCCCAGACTGGTCTTGGCAGCAAAGAAAGCAACCTACGCTGCTTCCTGCATCTATAGGTTGAGATGTTTGTTTAGGTGCTGGGGCAAGCCAGGGGTCACTCACACATACCTATGGAATTGTTTCTCCCAACTTTTAGAGCCATGTGACCATTTCTTATCATGCAAATGGTCATAATATTTTTGGAATTCTGGCTTTTATCTGTTTTTTCTACAACACCAATCTGATTGGTAAAAAATACCAGAGAAAAGACAAGAATTTACAACCCCAAGCAGGTCAGGGGTTGGAGGCCAGGCTTGGTGGCTCAAACCTGTTATCCTAGCAGTCTGGGAGGCCAAAGCAGGTGAATCCCTTGAGCTCAGGAGTTTGAGACCAGCCTGAGGAAGAGCGAAACCCCATATCTACTAAAAAATAGAAAAACTAGCTGGGCATAGTAGTGCACACTTGTAGTCCCAGCTACTTGGGAGGCTGAGGCAAGAGTTTGAGGTTGCTGTGAGCTATGACACCATGGTAGCCTACCCAGGACACACAGTGAGACTCTGTCTCAAAACAAACAAACAAAAAAATAACTGGGCAGAAATGGCTAGTTAATGGCATCTCATTTCATTCTAGAGGTAGTCCTAAAAAGAAAAACTGTAGGTTATAACCTAGTTTACTAAGCATAAGGATGGTATTTAAATGTGACCAAAGATTACTGCATTGAATGTCATTGTAAGTAATTAAGGCGTTACCATATTTGGAGCTCAGAAAGCTTTTCTTCTTATGTGGACATTCTGACAGGATAGGACCTAAGTGGAGATGTGTTTGCATGGTTTTAATTAGATTTGCTCTAAAAGGATGAGGTCTTTGTCTAGCAAGCAGGAGATATATTAAAATGCAGAATAAAATTTGGGTGTAATAGTACATATGAGTGAAGCCATTGAAGAGAGCCTGTACAAATCACAATTCACATAATGTAAAAGGAATAGGACAAATGTGTTTATCAGATTGAAAATCTTTTCCAGGCCAAGCGTGGTGGCTCAAGCTTGTAATTCTAGCACTCTGGGAGGCTGAGGCAGGGGGACTACTTCAGCTCAGGTGTTGGAGACCAATCTGAGTAAGAGTGAGACCCAGTCTTTACTAAAAATAGAAAATCTAACCAGGCGTCACGGCAGGCACCTGTAGTCCCAGCTACTCAGGAGACTGAGTCAATCACTTGAGCTCAGGAGTTCGAGGTTACTTATGAGCTATGATACCAGGGTACTCTACCCAGGGCAACAGAGTGAGACTCTGTCTCAAAAATAAATAATTGAATAAATAATCTTTTTTAGTTGCAGAGAGAGAGAGAGAGAGGTTCTGTATTAACACTTGATAAGGATTAGGAAACTAAGTACTCATTCGGGCTAGTAAAAACACAAGAGGAGACCGAAAGGGCATGTGGTATCAGAGAAGATGGGTGCTATTCTGCTGAAGGGGAGCAAGGGTGCAGAGCACACCTCCTCTATAAACACACTGAGAAAGAACACACTGTAGGAGAAGGGCGCAGCCCAGGGAATGGAAGGAAAGGAGAACCTGAGAGAAAGCTGAAAGTTGAGCTCACATTGGGAGGAAAGTGGAAGGCAGGAGCAGAAATTAGGTACCGGGAGCAGGAAGCAGAAGCTGGAAGAGACAAACAGGAACCTTCAATGAGTACACAGCATTTGGTGGCCCTGGAGTGCTTTACTGCACCTGAACCAAAACTCAAGAGACTCACATTCAAGAATATGACTAGTTTCTTACCTTTTCAAGAAACTCTGCTAATCGTGGCAAAAGAGCTTTCATAAGCCCTCATCCACTCAAGGAGTGTCTCATTAGCAATTCTTTAGTCTCACTACCTCCCACAACTGACCCACAAAGGCTCTGTCTTTCAGGGAGCCTTCGCCCTCCCCTTTCCTCCTCCTTAACATCAAATTAATAGACTGCTAGCTCAAACAATTGATTCACAAAAGGCTTCTAACTTGCCAAACTCTTTTTGATATTATTTAAGGCTTATGAAGCAGCTGCCCAAGGCCCTTATAGTTTTATAGAGACAAGAGGATTGTAACATGGTATCACGCCAAGTCACAGCGGCCACGGCTGTGCCTTCCCTTTATTTTTCCTGTCCTGGGCTCTCTGCCACTTTTCTGTAATTGCCCCCATGTCTATTCAGACAACAGGAAGCATAGTCAGTGCCCAAAAATCTCTACCATTATCATAGGCCTGGCACACATCCTGCCCATGTCTTTATGGCATGCTCAGACTGGGCACAGCCACATTATAAACACCACCAATAGGAGAATGTTAGACATTTTTTTATCTCAACAATGTATGTTTCTCTCAGCAAGAGAAGACTTTTTTCCTTTTTCTTTTCTTTTTTTTTTTTTTGAGACAGAGCCTCAAGTTGTTGCCCTGAGTAGAGTGCCATGGCATCACAGCTCACAGCAACCCCCAACTCCAAGGCTCAAGTGATTCTCTTGCCTCCTCCTCCCAAGTAGCTGGGATCACAGGCGCCCGCCACAACACCTGGCTATTTTTTGGTTGCAGCCGTCATTGTTGTTTGGAGAGTCTGGGCTGGATTTGAACCGCCAGTCAGGTGTTCTGTGGCTGGCACCTTAGCCACTTGAGCCACAGGCACTGAGCCTAGAAGACATTTTTTCCTTTCCCCTTCTCCCACCATTTTGTCCCTACCACATAGAAAGTAAAGCACCAGGATCCCAGGTACCTTCTCAAAGTTCATATAGTTAATTATGGAATTAGAAGTAAAAATGCAGGAAAACAGCCTGTTGAATGGCAAGAATGAAGCCATCTTGCAATGAAACCCCCATGATATATGGCCTCCTGCATACCAAGGTATTCTGCAGCAAGGTCTTTAAAGAATGCCCACAGCACAGATAACCCCTCATTTAAAAAAGCAATGCCTGTAGCAAAGACAACTCCTCATAAAGATGTTTATCTAACTTCCCCAGTGGTTGGGAGTTATACAAGAAAGCCTGAGAGATATGACCAGCCATACATGTTTATCAGAAAAGTTTACTATGTAAAGGGTTTTTGGAGGGCAAGAAAAGGGTCCACCATCTCATAACGTCCCAGGAATTGCTTCTTCCTACGTCCCTACTGAATGTTTTTTTCTGAGAAAGATTTGTCAGCCTCTTTTTTGGGCCTCTCAGCTCCCTTAGCCTTTAAGGGTAGGTCTACATATACCTGCTCACTGCAGAACAAACTCAGAACTTCTGACTCATAAACCAATACAACATTTTCTAAATTGTCCTAGAATGTTAAACTTCCATAAGTAAAGGAAACTCTGGGG